ATCACTCCATTCATCTTAGTAACAAAATGATTTTTTTTTCTTTAGTTAGTGTTTTAGGTGTGATTTTTTTATTATTATTTTGAAATAAATATACTCTGTAGAGTATGGACATCCATGTTGATGACAATGAACTATGAAAGTGATTCGAGCCGTGATAGAGTTACCTAAGATACTATTATTTTCTTTTAGTTACTCTGTGTATAATGGACGTCCATGTATATTTTCCCTTGCACTGTCTACAAACATTAATGTTACTTTTATTAATTATTTTCTTTCCTTTGTTTCGTTTGCTATATTTCTATAAATCAATTTCTAATATCTGATTTCCTCTTGCTGCAGTTCATCAATTTTTGACGCAATTCATCAGTTTCTATAATTAAAGATATTAAATTCTTTGATTTCTTTGATAATGTTTTTCATTAAAGTTTTGATAAATATGTCATTTCCTTTCATATTGTGCTGTGTTTTTTGCTGGTGGTCATCAATTTCTAGGTCTATAATCAAAGGTATAAACCCTCTCACACAATTTTTCTTTATTACATCTATTTCATTAATCATATAATTTTGATAAAAGTTAAATTTTTTGGTTTGTTACTTTTGTAGTTATGTTTTAAACAAAGCTCCCTCTCCATATGCATAAAAGATATTAGCAAAATGGGACTAATGAGCAGTAAACCATGATAAAAAAAAAAAAAAAAAAAAATTAGTATTGCTTAAAATTTTTGCTTTCATTTGCTTTTTCCACTAGATTATTTTTCTTAATCTTTCTTTCTTTCTTTCTTTCTTATGGAGCTAGTAAAGGGTGTTGTAGTAGTCTTTGTAACTTTTTTGTGAGTGGTTTTAGTGAATGTTAAAGTAATGGAATGAAATAGAATGGATTGGTATGACCTATGAGAAATCTAATAGAATGGCTTATTTGAATGACTCATGCACTATACACTAGATTCCTTTTCTCCCCATAAGAAAGTGTTGGCTTGGCCATTACATATTTTGGTGATTGTTGGGAGTATGTGTTGAAGATTTAATCCAAAAAGAAAATGGGCATAATGAGGATTGAAAAGATTGAAAAAATAAAATAAAAAAGGGAAGATGAACATAGATAAATCTCTTTTTGTTTTTGGTGAACACACAGACTAATCTTAGTAACAAAATAAATGCCTTTCTTAAAACAATATACGTTGGTAAATTTTGAGTTACTTTGGAAATAACTTTGTGCTAAGTTTTGGAATCCCCTATTGTCAAAATAAAAATTGATGTCTAATTGTCTCTTAAATTGGATTTATAAATTTACATTTTATTTAAGAGAAAACTAAAGTTGGAGGTTCTTTTTTCCTCTCTATTTCTGTCTTCTCTTTTTTAACCTCTTCTCTTGGAATATGAGGACAACAAAATTGTGGTGTATTGCTTTTGTTTTCCCATTGTTTTTCTTGCCTGGTTTAGTTAGTACAGGAAAACATGTGTTTTCATTTTTTGTCAAGTACATAGTAAAGGTAGCAAAACTAGACAAGGAAACATTTGAAGAAAGTGAGTTGGACTGTGTGTGATGGCAAATGGTGTCTGATAAATAATTGATGCTTTTGAGCAGTAAGAAAGTTTATTACATACTATGTGACGTTGATTTGAAAATACTGAACATTAGGCTTTTTTTCTCTTAACTAAATTTTTTGCTTTAATCCATCTAATCTAACTTTATTATTATTTTTCAATTTTTGTTTTGTTTTGTTTTTTTTTTTTTTAATTTCAGGTATCGATACTAGAATGGCTATTGAACGACTTTCAAATCTTTTTATCTTTGGCCAATTTTTAGGGCAACAATTTCATTTTTTAAATTGTTTTAGTTAATGTAATTGATGACTTTTTACATTAATCATCTTTGCAGTAACTCTTTGGTTTAGCCACATTCAACCATTATATGAATGCGATGATTTTTGTTGACAACTTATTTGGGTAAGTTGGATCAAAGAATGGATTTACTTGACTTAGGTTTGGATGTATACTATATGTGACTTTCAAGTTTAGAGTTTCACAAATTGTATGAGTGGCTGGAAGGAGAGTGCCTTTAGACTCGGGTGAAAATATTGTTGAAATGATGCACCAACTATATAGATAAAATTATATAGGTACTGGTGAACCCAATTAATGTAATAAGGTAATTTCAATCTCAAAAGTATTTTGATATATATTTTTTCAATAAATGTAATAATCTATATTTTTTTGCTTCCACAAATTACTAGATTGTTGTGCATGTTCCTCATTGGGGATACATACAAGTTGATAGCAAGACTTTTTGAAAAGTAATGAGGAGGAAGTTTAGGTAAACACATGTTTGAAGACATGTTATGTAACACCCTCAAAATATCAACATTAAACCCATCAGATAAGACATGCATTTACATATAAACTAACGACATTCTTTTATTCATTAGAGTTCCATTACATAAGTGTTACATGTTAACATCAAAACAAAATGCCCTACGGGCTTACAGCTTCCCAAGTTAACACTTGGTTACAACAAAAGAGTACTAACTCGTTTACACATTAAGCCCTTGGCTTGAAGTTACATGTAATACATCAAAAGTTAAGCGTCAAAAGTATGTCCGCCTCTAGCCTCCCAACTATGTCCTTGGAGGTGGCATGCTACCTGCACCTGAAAATGATATTCCCATATAGGGTGAGCCACAGCCCAGTAGAAATACACTAAGACAATGACTAAAATATTAGCAATTGATAGATGGCCAACACTGATACAATCACATATTTATGTCATACGACTTATGAGTTCAAGTTTCCTTTCATTTTCCCTTTTTCAATGGATAGGCATATAAGCACTAACCACATTCTCAACAGATATGTATAACAACAATATCCACATTCTCAGATAAGCAAATAATCTATATCCACATTCTATAACAGATATGTATAACCACAATATCCACAGATAAGCATATGAGCTATATCCACACATCACAAAGGTAAGCATATAAGCTCAATCTTCACTTCTAGACAAGCATATGAGCTGTGTCTACGGAGTTCATCCCCTATCTTCTCCCAACACTATCCGGTTTAGAGATACATCCCCTATCTTCCCCTAAACCACGGAGTACATCCCCTATCTCCTCCTCTACACATAACGTATATAAACACATTGGTTCTATATACAATCACCCAATACATACAGTTAATGTATTCTATCAACCGTCAAGTTCCATGACACATTCCATTGATTAGTTTCAGTTTGCCTAATCATCATGCATTGTCTACAACAATCACGACTATCCTCCACCGATAGCCCAAAGCAGTTATTTCTAAACAGAAAATAAATGCACAATCGATATACAATCAACATTTCATTTCCTCATTTCTCACAATTAATTATCCCAATTAACCAAACAATG